TGGGCTCTGCGTGCGTCCGGCTCTCGCTTCCTTCCTTCCCGTCGTCCCCCGGCTGCTGGGGTGAAGGCTGGGCGGCTTTTCTGTTCCTCTCTCTCCCGACCTCAGGGGCCGCCCGGCCCGGCGCCCGGGGACCAGACCCCCCGCGTCTCTCCCTCACTTTCTAGTTAATAAAAACAGTGGTTGGAAATAGGTCATCTCCCTTCCCACGCGCCCTGGCCATCCTCCACACGCTCCGTGCCCTACTAGGGAGAAGAATTCAGTGCCGTGGAGTTTGTCATGCCGGCGCGGAACTCTCCCTCCCCGCGGCTCCAGCCCGGCGGTGCAGCTCTGCCTCTCCCGTTTCCACCCGGGGAAAGGAGGCCGCCGGTGGCGTGTCAGGCGCCGCTCGCCGCGGGGGCCTCCCTCCCCGCTATGAGGTGACACGTTTAGGATCCCTTGAAGCAGTGGTTCTCAACCTCCTGGCCCTTTAAATATAGTTCCTCCTGTGGTGGCCCAACCGTAAAATTATTTTCGTTGCTACTTCATAACGGTAATGTTGCTACTGTTCTGAATCGTCATGTAAATAGCTGATAGGCAGGATGGTCCTAGGCGACCCCTGTGAAAGGGTCGTTCCATCGCCAAAGGGGTCGCGACCCACAGGTTGAGAACCGCTGCGGGCTCCAAGGGTATGGTTTTGCTTTTTTTTTTTTCCAAACGAAGGCGGCGATGTTTCCAGAGCAAAACCACCCCTGCAGGGTGCTGACAGGCCGGTTTTGCTTTTAAGAAGCCCCGGAGAGCTCTCCTGGTGGCCGCGGGCTGCCCCGAGCCGGGCTGGGGTCTGGTGCTGTGCGTTTGTCATGGCTCGGAAGTGGGCGCTGGCCCGTGTGGATGTGACCAGGGGTAAACATCCCCCCCACCCCATGTTGTCAAAAGTGACCCCACTGTTACTTCAAAACTGAACTAGGCGGTAATAATCTCGGGGAGGTTTCTCTTGCTCTCTTACCTGAATACATTGAACTCGAGAGTAAAAGCAGCTTTCCGCTCCGCGGTTAATATTTTGTCAGACTCTCGAGCCGCGATGGATTTTGTGTGTGCGGGTGGCGACCATGCGTGCAGCCCCGCCTTCCCAACTTAGTCCCAGGGGCTGCTGTGATTGGGATTTTGGTCAGGTTCCAGCAAGTCAAGGAGGAGTTTTCCTCTTTCCCAAGAAAGTAGTGTGCAGAGCTGAGTTCTCCAACAGCTACAGGACCGTCTCTTTATTGAGACCCAAACCTCCTCGGTGTTCAGCCTCCTGCTACCCCTTCCCGTGTGCCTTGCTTTCTCTCTATTCGTAGCTGTAAGTTACTGTCTGAAATGAAACTCCAGCCCGAAGGAGTGGAATGGTTACTGCTTCTCCTCTCTTCTGTACCCTAACTTCTCTCAGTGCTTTTCTCCTGGACTGAAGGGTTGAGACATTTATGCCCGCATGTGCTGTGGAAGTGGAAGTTTCTGTCCAGCTCTGCCCATTCTGCTCCGCCTCACACTGAGGTTGTCACGAAGAGAGGAACATTGTGGAGCTTCTTTCTCTTCCTGTGGTGAACATTCAGGCCGCATCTTAAATGACAATTAAGACTTCACTTTAGAGGCCAATGGGAAGTGAGGAAACTGAAGGTTGTATGCAGATACTTTTCCATTCTAAAGATCAACTTAAGGTTTTTGTTTTGAGAATGGCGTCCTTAATATCTAGAGGAGAATGACAAAGGAGATGACAGCTAGGAAAGTATCAACATTAGCACAACTGAGGCTTGCTCCTAGATGATGATTGTAGTCAGTGAAAACCAGGTACTGTGCTGTGCTGTGTGGGATTTTAGTAAAAGTAGTAGTAAAAAGTCTTATCTGCTAGTTTAGGGTTACATTTTTTTTTTTTTACTAGATATCAATTTAGTTTGAAGTATTTCAAGTCCTTTAAAATGTTTGAATTACAAATTCTTTTTCTTATCACTAATCTGAAGTAGCATTTAGAATGTGACTAATAATAGTGTCCTTTTTTGCGTGTAGTTTGATGACTATCTTTCACTGGAAGGATTTTTATCTTTAGAAACTGGTTTGTCTGTCCTTGGCTGCTGTGCATGGTGCTTCTGTTGGGAGTCGGGAGGAAGAGTTTCAGTGAGTTTCCTCTCCTTGTTCCTAAATCCTGGGAATGGAGCCTAGATTTAGTTCCCCCACAGAGGAATAACCATTTATTACAATGGCAGTGAACATTTTCAACACCCTGGTGAATATATCTGTATTCTTAGGTTATTGTAGAAGTTGCTTGTGGCCAGCTATTTGCTTTCTCAATTAGCTACCATTCTGTTTGGGCCAATACTTTGATTTGCTGTGTATCTTTTTTCTCTTGCTACTATCATAGAAGTGTTTGTCTTGGGTATCCATTCATCCTGAGTCATATTTAGCAGTGGAGTATCAGAGAGACTAAGGATTCCTTGCTTTTGAATTTTGCTAGTTTTCACTTTTGTTGCATTTACAGGTGTATCTTATTTGGCAAAACTGGCTTCTGTACATTGAATTTTTTTTTTAATCTCATTTTCCTACTTGGAGATGTTAAATATTTTGATCCACAAATATAGTTAAATGTTTATTCTCAGAGAAAAACACTAACAAAATATTAATACACATAATACATTTTTCTATTACAAAGGAGTTGTTAATGTAAAAACATTCAAACCTGTAAAGAATTTTTGTGAGTTTATTTGAGCCAAACTGTCGACAGTTGCTGGGAAGCAATATCTCAACGGATTGGGATAATGTTTCAGAGAATGGCAGTTTTTTTAATCTATTTTTATACATGGCAATTAAAGGAGGGGACATAGGTGGGTTACATGAAATCCACTGGTGATAAATTAGAGAGGCGGGAGAAAGCAAAGCGGGGAAACCTCTGGGATTGGATGAAAAGTAAAATGATAGACACATACTTAGGTTTGTGCAGGACAGTTAGCAGTCTACAATTAACTTGATAACATTAACAATGAAGGAATTTATGGTCTCCTGTCCTGGCGCCCAGGGCATTTGGTTGTGGCCCAGAGGTCGAGGAAAAAGGGAAGTTACATTTCATAGGTATGTTATCTTAGATGCAAAAAGATAATAGGCTCAGTTAAGGTAAAAATTGACCTTGTCAGGAAAATACCGGCCTAGGACACGGCTACCCACCATAACTGCTTTTAGTTAAAGCTTTCAGATCATCCTTTGTGGTTAAGTTTGCAAAACTGCCATGCAGGCCTTCCCTGAGCTTGTCAGGTTAGCATGTTGCCTCCCCTCCCTCCCTCCCCAGAGTTGAAGCTGTAAAAAGAAATATATTACTTGTTAGGTTTTAGGAAAAAAACTTAATTAGCACAATTGGCAAGATTAGAAGTCCTGCTTTTTGTTGTTAAGTTCACCCAGTAACTCAAACCGAGATTAGCTGGGTAGACAGATTTCCAGGTGGGGAGTTTCCTCCAGGTTTTGGAAATAAACAGATCGCAAAACAGGTAAGGTATTGATCATTTCAACTGAAATAGGCTTGAATGGAAGAAAAATGATTCAAAATAATATAAAATTCAATATCAAAGTTAAGACTAGAATTCTTTCTCAAGAAAGTTAATTAAGAGCTGACAGTGGAAGACAAGTGTGACACACCGAAGTGAAAAATTTGAAAGAGATCTGAGGGATCCTGTTTATCAAGCAAAAGAACAATTTCACATGCCCAGGCTCAGTGATGGGGTACAGAGGGAGGGGATGGCCGAGGGACTGAGCTGGAAGAAATGCTTTCACTGTTTTTGAAGAGCTGGAGAATTGTCTAGAGAACGTAAATAATCAGGTATCTGCATGGAGCGCTTAATAAATGTGCAGTATTTTAGGCTTATTACCTATCCCCCATCCCCTGTTTCACTCTCCACTTTTAGGATACAATTTGTTACAGCATGAGAAGGTCTAAAAAATCTATAACTATGTGGTTTTAAGGTTTCAATCTCAGTGAAAGGGCATGACTTTAGTACCAATAGTTTTCTGTTAAGCACAATTAAGAGAAGGTTAGGATTAGTGTTGAAAAAGACTCACTAATGTCGCTTTTACCATAACATGTTTACTAATGACTAATAAGGTTTCTCGTTTGTTGAGTGTAATGCTTTAGTATCGTTCCATGTCATGATTACTGAAGTGGTTTCT